AAAGCCGCAAATAATTCAAAATGTCAGCCGCAGCAGCAAAAGAAGAAAAATGTCAAGGAATTTTCAGTTGTAAGAAGCAGATCAACTCAACTCAACTCGACTCAACTCAACTGGACTCGACTGGAATTATGTAATGCTCAAATATAAAGGAATTAGTTTTTGTGGCTCGGTTTTGTTTATAATTTGTTTATCTAAATTGAATTGTTTATCTAAGCAGCCGCATATAAACATTAGCCCAAATTGTATTCCTTGCTTTATTTTTTTATGCGTTGCCAATGAAAATCGATTAATGTGCGAATGGGCAACGCGTTCGTTTTGATTTATGGCTTTAGGAAACACTGGCCAACACACACAGACACACACAGACACACACAGACACGCACGCACACAAACAAAGATTTGCGCATAAAGGGCAATAATGCACAATAGACAAAACATCCATCGATTGTTAAGTAAACAATTCGCTGTTTGTTTTAGCTGCATAAAAGTTGTTGTTCAATTTTCGCTTTCATTTTGTTAGCAATTTTATTGATGTTGTTTTGTTGTTCCATCCAGTGCTGCTCGGTTGATCTTGTGGTCGATTTATGTAGTGCACGTTCGCTGAATCTGCTGCTTGTATACATATTGATTTGGCCATAAATTTACTTTCGCCTGCCTTTTTTTGTTTTTTTTTTTGTTTTTTTTTTTTTTTTTTTGTATTACTCTTTTATTGATTTTTTGTTGCGAAATTTGCCTAACCTAATGAGCCGAAGCACTGAGCACAGAAAAAACCGCACAAATGGTAAAGTGCATGAAGCGAAATTGCTGCAAATGTCAGTCGGGCAAAAATTGTAAAAGGACGCCAAAGATGAGGCAACACTTGCCATGCCACAGCAAAAGCAACAGCAACAGCAATAGCAACAGCAACATCAACAAAGTGCTCTAATAGAGAGGAGGTTGCAACATCAGCAGCAACAGCATCCTCTGCTCGTCTTGGCTGCTGCACAAGGGCAAGTGCACGTGCTTGTTGTTTGTGGGCGTGGCATTGTGTTGACGCATGTTGACGTTGCCTTTGAATGGCATCGTTGTTGCTAGTAATTTGCAATGCTAAAACAAAATCAAGTGGCTGCCAACAAGGCAGCTAGGGTAAAAATCTGCTAGAGGAGCCAACGGACGACCTTCGACTCACTTAAAATATTCCATAGCACAATTTCATATTTACTTTCGGCTATCCCATTTAATACTTATCAACCGAATGGGCAACGGTCACAGCTCTTGAGAGCAATCGCCGCTGCTTCATTAATCAACTAATCTGAAGAGTTTCACGAAAATGAAACTCAAGCTGCGTGATATGTTGCTAAGTGTTGTTGCTGGCTCTGCTGGCTCTGTTACTGGCGTTAAGGGTTTGCCTCGTCGTGCTGCTGATATCGTTAACTCATTACTCAAAAGTTTTAATGTGTTCAAACTCTAGAAGGGCATACATCAAAGGCATGTGCGTAATGCAATTATCGATATTGTCGGAGCATACTGGTATTGGTGTAACTTTTCTTTCACCCAAGCAAAGGCAAAGGCAGCTCCACAGAATTTGCAAGTCATAATTGAAATTTGCAGGCTCATTGCCCCAGCGTCAGCGCTTGTTCAGTGCAAAAGTTTAGACAAACAACTTTTAAAATGGAAAAGAACAAGCAGACATCGTGTCAGATTACGTTGTGTCTGCTAGCAAATGTTAAGCAGCTGTTAAACATATTATAGCACCCTGTTAAGCTTGAGTTAAGTATGAGTATAAAGCGCATGTTAAGTAGCTGTCAAGTGGCAGCTAAATACCATTCGCAAATAGAACTTTTTAAGTCCTTTGACTGTCATCTAAGCATTTTATATGCTTATTGTTTTTTTAGTATATGGAGCGAATGAATGAATTACCACTCGTGTTACCATCTATTCTCCTATTCATCTGTTATATTTTTCAGTAAGTGGTGAGGTAGATAAATGAATCGAAATATTGAATATATTTTTATAGACTCGCCGCTAGATGGCGTTACTATCGCAAACGAAATTGACAGGCGTGCAGCATATTCTTGTCAGAGTTTCAGCCGAATAAACCAAAGATACTCGCCGCGCGGAAGTTTGACTCGAACGAGGAGGTCATGGGAATCCCAGAGGTCTACTTTGCATATCAGTTGAAGCACTGCTTAAGCTTAGTAGTTTTCTGATGGGTTTAAGAAGGCGAAGCATGCCTCATGTGGATCCTTCAGAGGCCGCTTATCGAACCGGCCGCTTATATACGACTCATGGGATCCGACGAAAAATCTTTTTTCTTCAGTTTTAGAGTTTTGGTACCAGCTTCGGACACTACTGAGAAAGACGAATTCGAATTTGAATTTCGGTTTCAAGCTTCACTTAACCTTAACCTTTCTGTGAATCAATCTATATCTACGGTTGCCTTCAATCAAGCCCCTTTGCCTTTAATCTACATTCGTAGTTCATCAGCTGACTGCTAATTGAAACATTTCACTGCCAGCGATGACTGTCGAGTTATGAGCTTGCAACATTTCAAAAATGACTAGCAAATTGTATAACGGCATTCAAATACAAACCTTGGCCAATTGTTTGTTCTTGGCAGGTGAAAGCAAAGTGCCCCCAATAAAATAACAAAGAGCGTCTGATGTATGCAGTAGACTTTAATCGCATCAAAATATTGAAATTAATCGACGCCTTGACTAAACGTAGGGACCAGGTCTGGGTGGATTAGGGTTGAACGGCGATGGCCGAGTATCAAAGGGATTGCGATCCTCACGATGACGAAAACGCGCCTCGCTCAGGCCCAGACCCAACAGCAGCAGCAGCGGCAGCAGCAACAGTTCACGCAGCTTTAATTGCATCTCGTCTCGTTTGTTGATTGATGCCGCCAAGCTGAGGAGACAGCGCTTTTATAGCAATTGATTCGGTCGGGTATTCACATGGCGATAAGCTTGGTGTTAAGAGTGCCGATAAGATGGGGATTTCTTCGACGAATAGAAAAATCACCGAGACTTACTAAGAAGTGTGTGTGTCAAAGGTCGCAGATTATCAGCAGAGCTGTTAACTGACAGCTGTTTAACATTAACGGGAACTGTTAGAATAGCTAGCAATTGTTTAGAGCAACATAAAGCTTTATAGCCTGATACTGATCTTATAATGATAGCTAAGCTAATATAAGACCTCAAGTACCATAGTGAGAGTAAAGTGAGGAAGTCTCCCTATATAGACTTATAAGTCATTAGTTTATGATTCTCTAAGGGTTATAGCTAACAATGCGTTAATGAGGCAAGAGCTAATAGCAAACTTTAATCATATGTATTAGAAAAGATTCTTTGACTTTATATTTATATATCACTTCTGTAGTTATGTATACTAAATTCCTCCACATCAGAATTCCTCCAGTCATAAATGTCTATGAAATCTCAATTAGCTGCTGCTCAATTTAAATTTATAATATACAATATGTTAAACAAATGCAACCTTTTGTTGGTATTCTAAGCAAGTTAGATGTAATTATAACACTCGCACGTCTCAGCCCAAGTCAATGAACTTTTTCAGCTCGGCCCACAGGCTTAGCAGGGCTTTAACAGGTTTTCAATTAATTATGTATTATGTGTTCAAACAAATATCAAATTTTGCTCATTTTGTACGCAATTCAACGTGTTTGGCTGGAGTGGGAGCGGGGTGGTGTCTAAAACTTAAGCGCATGCTATGCGTAGCTGTTCGCCAACCGCAATTGGGTCAATTTGTTAGCTTTGGCAGCTTTTGGTATTATGCTGGGAATTTGCATTTGCCTGGCATGCGGCTCGTCTTGATATCCCTGCTGACAGGTCTCATAAATAATAATTAGAAATTGGGCTAGCGAAGCCTTCGCATGGAAATGCATTCACCTGGTGTGTGTGAGTGAGCGTGTGTGTGTGTGTGTGTGAGTGTTGACACACACGCTGGTTGGTGTTGTGCGTGTGATGGCATTTATAATTTAAATGCAATTTAATTTGCGGCGTTTTTGTGACGCGCCAGCGGGGCGTATGAGTAATCAGCTGGCAGCAGCAACAGCAATAGCATAAGCAACAGCATCGACATCGGCATCGACTTGAACAGCACAAGCAGCAGCAGCAGCAGCATCAAATGCCTCCCACTGCTCAACTGTTGCCAGTTTTATTTGCGTATATTAAAATTGAGTACGCGCAAACATTTCAATGAGTTTCACACACAATATTTTTCTTTCCTTTTTGGCTTTGGCTTTCTATTTTCAGACGGCGGCAGATCCAAGAAAAGCGCTAAGAAAAACACTTGCGAAAATTAGCAGCAGCAGCAGCAGCAGTCACAGTCGCTGCTGCCGCGGCATCGGCGTCAACGTCAACGTCGGCGTCGGCATCGCCATCGGCCGTGTCAAGCTATAAATAGTGCGCACTGTGCGCGTGACAGCTGGTGGGACAGAGACGGTGACGTCATTTGCCTGGATGGACGCTGTGCTCTGCGGCGACGTCATCAAATCAAACAGCTTAGCAGCTAATTTGCAGCAACAACAACAACAACAACGCGCTGCTGGCCAAAGCCAATAAACACATCATAGACAAGACATTATCAGATGCTCTCAGCGTGCGGGCCACAAAATGTGCGAAACCAAAACGAATTGATAAGATCAGCTAAATATATATAGACTATTTATATATATACATACCTATATATATATATAATAACAATATGCACAGAGTAAACACACGAAGAGCCATGAGAATCGCACGAAAGCACAGCAAGAAAAAAGAACGAAAAGCGGAACAAAAACAAAATTTGTCAAAATAGCAAGTGAAATGCTTACAAGCTCCTGAGCCTCAGTCGAAATTCATCGTCGATCGGCGTCGTTGAATGCCTCGCGCTGCTGCGAGCGTCTTTTCTAGCCTCTTCGCGAGCGCGCGTGTGTGTGTGTGTGTTTGTGTGTGCGAGTGTGTGTTTATGTGCGTGTGTGTAGATGTAGTGCTGTGCGGTTGAATACATATATGCCCATACATAAAAATAAAAATATTTAAATATATGTATATAATATATATATTTAATGCGATATCTGGCGCTATACGCGCGTAAAAAGTGGCAAACGGACGCCTCTCCTCCACGCTGGCTAAATCGACTTAAACGAGCTACGAGAACGCGACACATCAACAACTAAGTAACAAGTAATAAATAAACTAAACGAAAAGCAAAAAGAAACAAATCAACAAAAGCTGAACAAGAAGAGCAAGAAAAACTTAAACGAACGCAAATTGATTTTTGCTGCAAACAAATACACAAATATATAAGTCGATAAATACGTGTCATAAATCATCACGAATAATTTGTGCTAAATCCGTTTCAAAACTTAAAATGTCAACCATAAATTCAAGCAGAGGATTTCATTTAACACAATTGCAGCTGCTCTAAACGGTAAGTACTCTATACACACATACATACATAGATGTTTGTATCTATATTTTAGTCGAGAAAGAAATGAAATCTGTGGGATTTATGACATTTGATTTGTAGCTCGACTTGAGGCCTTTTTGTGATATGTGCAGGAGCTGTTTCTGAAAGGTTTATCCGCAACTTGGAGCTGGTAGAGCTGGTAGAGTAAGCAAATTTGGATTTTTTACTGCAACGGCAGCAAATTCTTAACGGCAAAGTTTTGGTCGACTTGATATCCTTAATCTGTGCTAACTGCTTTGTTCACATATCCAGCCAGTCTGTCTGTCTGTCTGTTTGTCATGTCTATTTGGCTGCTTCTATTCAAACCAGTTTCGTCGCTTTTAAACTATTCTCATGCAACTATGCATAGCTGCACATTTGCCTTTGCCTTGCAGACAGCACAAAAGTTGCTTCAATTGAATCGTAGCATCAGGGTCTTGTCACTGAAATGCCTTTAAATAAGGCCTTGAACAAAAATACTTAAAATACCAAAACTAAAAAAAAAAATTATTGCTTATAATTGTTATTTGAATTATAATCAACTAAAACATGTTGACAAACGTGTATAAATTTATAAAAATTGACAAACTGAAAAATTTCAATATTGCTAATTCTATAGTGAAATCTTAATCATTTATGGATAATTAAATACATGTTAATATTTTTATACATGTTAATATTTTTATTATTTTACATGTTAATATTTTTATAATTATAAGTACGTATATATCCATATTAAAATTATGAGCTTTGCCATTAGCAAAGCAATTATTAATTATCATTATATTTTAAATTTATGAATTTATTTTAAGGAGATTTCAGCGTCAATCTGAATAAGAAGAGAATATTTTCTTATTTTTATTTTTATTATTTTTTTTTATTTTAAGTATCATATATTTTGTATGCAGGCTGCACTCTTGCAAATTAAACGACTTTCATACACTTTTCTAAGCCATATCTAGACAGTAATGTAAATTACTGAAAAGTTGAGTAAAACTAAATCTGCAGCTATTATTTTAATGAATTGAATGGAAGGCAAAATGAATCTAGTTTTCTGAGTTGAATAGAAAGCAAAGTAAACTCTGATGCAAACATTTTTATTAATTGATAAGAGTTTTTTATATTATTTTTATTATTTTGATGTGCTCGGCAATTTAATAGTTCACAAATGAAGTGCTGCTGGATAAGTATAAAATTTGAATGAATATATAGTGTGAGATCTCACTGAAGAGAATACCTAGAGAATAAAATGTACGTGCGTACTCCTGCCTTTCAGGTTGGCTGACAGGCAATTTGTATGGTTTGCTAGTCTGCTTAAGCCTCAATGACTGTGCTTTGAAATTCTTTCCAAGAAATCCTGAAATTCACATGACTTGCCTAGCAAGCCTAAAAATTAGGCACTGAATTTTAAACAGTGAATGAGAAGAGGCTAAAGTTAAGATTTGATTTTTGTCAGGCGTAATTTTTGCTGCAGCAATATGAGAAATTATATTTAGAAAAGTTATGTAGAAATTTAAAAAGAATTTTATACACATAAATATAAAAATAAACAAATTTTTTATTATCATTTATCTATATAATTATATTTTTCTTGGAAAACAGCTTCCATGCAGCTCAGCTCCGCTCAGCTCAAATTTATTGAGAATAAATATTTACATGACAATTTCAGGCTAGATAATTGACATACGCATGTTGGGCCATTAGGAGTGAAAGCATTTGCATTTTTGACAGCCAATCAATCAGTTGGTTGACCTTATAAATGGCCTGTCTAATTAGCCAAATGCGTTTTGGCTCTTTTGTCTAAGTCAAAATGTGGCTATTTCCGTGTAAAAAAGGGCTCAAGACTTATTCACTTATTTATGTACAAATATATGATAGCGAAACGTGCCACGGTAATAGGCTTTGTGTGTTAGACATGGAGAGAGGGAGAGAAAGATGGATAGTGAGAGAGAGAGGGGGAAAGAGAGTGTGTGTGGGAGGTGTAGCATAAGCCTACGTTGATTCAAAACGGGCTCACGCGGCGCATACGCAATTTGTGTGCCACTGGCTCTTCCTGTGGGGTTTCTCTACTCTCTCTCTATCTTTCCCACTCCCTCGCTCTCGCTCTCCCTCACTGTGCATGTTTGTCTGCATGAATGTTTTCATAAATTGAGTTTGCTTTTTTCGACAGCTCCTTTTGTTAGGGGTTGACACCGACAGTGCTCGCTCGCCATCCCTCGCCCACCCCCAATCCCGCTGAGAGCCCCCCTACGCCTTGCCGCTTTTATGCATATATACTACCTGTCATTATTCATTGCGATGCGACTTTTGTGTCTGTTGCTGGCGTCCGTTGTGCCGCGCCAAAGCTGCGCATTTCAATAAGGGAATTATGAGCTATTAGGCATATATATATGTTATATTATAACAAAAATAAAATACAGCTATTAGGAACCTGCTGGCTCATTGTTATGCACGCTAAGAATTGTGTGCTTGAGGGCGGCTTACGCAATTGATTAGCTTGAGATGCTTTGCTGTGAAGTAGTTGTGCTTGTAGGGTGCAAAACATTTCAGGAATTTTGTTTTATTTATGTACATGCATACATATACATATATGCAATAGAACACAGAAAACTTGCTTAATTTATGTGCACAAGTTCAATGTAATAAAAATAAATATAACACATGTGCAAAGAGCAATTGCAATAGCTTCAGCTCAAGCTATATGGGCGCACTGCCATCCCATCTAGTTACGTATGCGTGAGTGTGTGTGTGTGTGTGTGTGTGTGTGTGTGTGTGAATCTGTGTATCTGGGTCTTCACAGTGCCCCCTTGTCGTACCTTGACAATGCACTTGAGTCAAGTTTGCTTCCTCTCTGCCCAGGTTGCCGAGCTGCTTGGCTGCCAATGCAAAGGCTGCCAAAATTGCATTGAGCGACAGCTTGGTCGCGTCAGGGGTATCAAAAGGGGGAGGGAGGGGGTGTGAGCGGGCATGGGCGCATGGGCGTCCGGCAGACGCCCAAGCATGATACGAGCAGCATGTAGCAAGCAGCTGAAGCAGAAACAACAACAGCAACAACAACAACATCAACARCAACTACAACAACAACTACAGCTACAACAACTGCGGCAGCGGCAGCTGCAGCAACCAACGCGCACTGCTTGTTTATTTATTTATAACATTTTGTTTGCTGCTCGTTGCCTCGTCGCCTGCTGTTTGCTGTCGCGTTTCCTGATTATGATCCACCCCTGCCATTGTGGGGTATATTGGCTGGGTCATTAAACATGCCCAACACATGGCGTCCAACCTGTCTGTCAGTGTTCGCATTTTATATGCAACTGCAGGCTGTCTAATAATGTCTTAACTAATTCTAAATTTAGTTTTACATAGTAAATGCATCTGCGGAATGATTGAATCGAATGGAATGAGGAATGGAATAAGCTAAAGGCATTTCGATATTTCGAAATATATTCGAAATATTGCAAGGTATAAGTGAAACGAATAATTTGAATGTGCCGAATGATATTCGTTTTGTGATTCATTTTAAGTGCATCTCGGATGATTGTGTTAATGGCCATGAATGAAAGTGATGAAAGAGAATGATGTTAATGATGACTTTGTATTAGACTTGATTTTACGAGGGAGTGAAATGAAAAACTTTGAATAATATAAATGTAATTTATGGTGTTCATATAGTAAATCATTTTGAAGGGATGATGGCCAAGATGGCAACAATTTGTTTTATAAGGCAATGGTACTTTGAGTGGACTGAAAAAGAAAGAGTAGTTAATTTGAATGTGTTTATTTAACGAACTTATGATTAACTTGATATTTTTTTAAATTCATATACAAGAAATATTTATTATGCAGTTGATTCTAAATGATTCATTTGAGGTGAATATTCAAAAAGTAGTTGCGATGAATTGTTGATTCTGAATGCATGAAGAGAGTATGAGTTCAATTCATGCGAATGATTCAATCTGAATACACACAAAATAGAAAAAATATCAATATATATGCAAATGATATTTATTTTATATTTATCATTTTTTTTCTTTCTTAATTTTCTTAATTTCTTAATTTTATAATTCCTTTATATCCCGCTTTACTTTAACGAACACGAATGAATTCAATTTGAAGATTAATATGTTAATTCAATTGCATATTCGAATAATTATGAATTTAACGGAAAACGTAAACTGAGAAACTTTTTGCTCAATAGCTCGTTTGATTGTATTTCAAAAAGTGTCGGACTCCGGCCGAAGTTTGCTTTATTTGATGCAACATAAAATTCATTAAAAAGTTTTTCTGTGCAAAATAATGAGAGTGTGAGAGCTGAAAAACTGGTGGGAATATTGAATTTTCGAGTCGTTGCCTGAAATTCAAGTGTATGAAAACTTTTTGTTGGGCTTGTTTCTCTGATTGGAAATGAAACATGAGAAGAATTTGCTTGTTAATGCTGGAGTCACTTTGTTCGCTAGGACAACAAGGCTCAAATGCTTAACTATAAACACTGAACATATATTGTTTAGCATACGTATTTATTTCAGTGTATTTGCTCTTCGTTGAGCTCTATAAATTTATTTCCCTTGCCTGTTTTGAATTCATTTTCATGCTGGGCTTGCCATGAATGATAAGCGCAAGTACTTCAAAGTAGCTAACGGGCTGCCAGGCTGCCACTGCCAGTCTGCCACAGCCCGCCTCTGCACCTGCCACTACCACTGCCTTTGGCACCTCTTGCCACCCTCTGCAGCCGTTTCTCAATTGTTGCCCCACTGTCGGTCGCTGTGGGGCTGTCAGTGCCATTGTCAGACAGCGTCAGATTGGTTCATTGTTTTTATTATTATTTCTCTTTTTTCTTTCGTTTTTGTACTTTTTGTTCTTTTTGTAGTTAATTAATTTTATATACTTACCGTTGCACTTTTATGGCACAAACAAATTGCTGCAGCCCAAAGGCGTTTTTTCATTGTTGTTGTCGCAGCTCGTTGTTGCTGCTGTTGTTGTTGTTGTTGGCTGTGCATTCCATAAATTGGCTTCCACTTGGTGCTTTGCTTTATGATATGGCCATCTGGCGTATTGGATATATCGTATACCTTACAGAGTTGCTCTCTGTTAGCCTTTTGACATCGAAAGCTTTCAGTTTCCATTTTTTCACTCCCCTTTTCCACTCTAATACATTCCGGTACATCATGCCGCACCGCTCTAAGCATGATTGATCAATGTTGACAGATTTAACGAGCTGCTAAAGTGCTGCAAAACAATTCAATTATCGGAGCGTGTGTGTGTGTGTGTGTGCGGGTGGGTGGGTGTGTTAGTGAGTGAGTGCTGCTGCTACTGGGCAAATGGAAGGTAAACATTTGCATATATATGCTTAACCTTTTTATAACCTGCTGCAAATGCATCATCGGTCTTACATCATCTGGAACATGATTATCAGCAGCTGGCAACATCATGATGAGCTATGGAACTACTGGGACACACTGAGAGCATATGTGGGAATGTGTTTTGTAACTAAAAGTTGTCGATGTATATAAGGCGGTGTATATGCCCATATAAGAAAGTCAGGAGGAAGCAATGCGAAGCCTAAATCATGTAATTTAGCTATCGATTTCCTTGATTTGCAACGCGCTGCGATGCATTTTCCATTTTCCTTATATCAGGTCGCGCTGTCGTCTTTATTTAATAATCATGTATGCATTCACCAGTTGAAAATATTCAGCTTATACAGCTAAGTTACATGTGGGTCACCTACAAAGTGCTTTGAATAAGTTGCTAGAGTCTAAATTCGGAGTTTTCTAGCTGTTAAATATATCCATTGATGAGCTTGCTTATTTGGGAAAACTATAATCTCTTTGCACAAATATCTAAGGCATAATTAGATCAAAACTACAATACTACTTATAGTTTTCTCATTAATATTTCATATTTAATTAATTTTCAATGAATTTCATGGCCCCTGAACGCCCATTATGCAGTCGGTTGGATCCCATTGCAATGTGCTTACTTATTCCATTTAGTTTGCCACGTTTTTAGTTGCAATGCCTGGCATTTAGGTGTGTGTAATTATTTATGTGTGTGCTGACCTGCCACACACTTCACACGGCTCACACACATGCACACACACATTGACAGGCATTGCCGCTTATAAATAATTCAGTTTGTATTTCAATTGCGTGATTTCGTTACCCTTCAGAAAAACGAGAAAAAAAAAAAGAAAAAGAATAAACTGAAATAAAAATATTTTCATCATTTATAGCGGATTCATTTATTTATTTATTGATGCATATTCGGGTTTTKCTTTCTCTCTGCTTTCTCTTCTGGTATTCAGCGATTGCAAGGTCTCTGTTGTCAGCTTATGACAATACGAATTTAATCGCTCTCTGGGCTGCTGTTGCTGCTGCTGTCTGTGCGTAATGCGATTTCAATGCCGTCTAGATTTCAGCTGGCCATTGGCCAAAAAGTATCTCAATATTACTTAAGCTTGCGCTCGTCTTGTTTATGTAGCCAGAGGTTAGCCAGGTCTTTGCCATAAATTGCTGTAGATAAAGATGCCGAAGCATTTGAAAAGTAATTTATAGTTAATAATGGTCTTTAGTAAGTGATTTGTGATTGCTTTATTTCTTTTTTTGATTTATCATGTGAATTGCAATTTAGTTGGGCATTAAGTCAGTGATGGGAAATAAATATATAGAGATGATTTTTTTTTTTCGGTTGTTAAGGGTTAGTTTAGTTAGATTGAAAAAAAATTTTTTTTTTTTTTTTTTTTTTTTTTTTTTTTTTTAACTTTTAGTTTTATATTCCATTTTGATTAGTTTAGCTAATATTCCTACTGTACTAGCTATAAAATTTAATTAAATTTAGCTAGTCTCGGGTGCATTTCTCCTCCCACCTCTAATTATTACTCAAAAATCTAACTTCATCTTGCCAGCTAGCCAAATTAAATTCTAGAATTTTCCCTTTTTTTAAAGAGCTTCACATTCCAATTATTCCACAAACATCTAGCTTTATCTTGCCAGCTATATATCATCTTGACAGCTTTCCATCCAACCCTCAACCAATTATCACATTTTACACTCAATTTGCTCACAGTTGGCTCAGCTTTTCCTTTAGCACTCTAATTAATTTGGCTCATCAATTGTCTAATAGCCGCTCAGCGTGATAATAACAAACTCTTCATGCGCGTAACTTCACTCTTGGCTAAGTACATAATTTCTGTTAATTTCTGTTCAGAACCATTATTTGGCTCTTAACTAACTGGGCTAAGCACGCATTATGCTCTGCGGCCCCTTGTCTGCGTTTAGGCCTTCATATTTTGGCAGATATGTGAGAGAAAAGTTGGGCCGAACTTTTGTTTTGCCAACTGCCAGCAAAGTTGGTCCAGCAGCTGCTCCCGGCTGTCCCAAATCCTGCTGAGAGCATATCACTCGCAACATCTAGCATCATCTAGCAGCATCCTCTGGCCACTCGCTGTTCAATTCGAATGTTAAACAATTTAATGAGCACGAAAATTGCTGCGAAATGCAGATTGCGAAATTCTAAATAATTCATTTATGTTTTGTGGTCAAAGTTTTTGTTTTTATTCATTTCCATTACGCCCGACAGACGCTGTTCAATTAAACTGAGCACAATCAATGCTTTAATTAGTGAAAACATCCTGCAGACATGTGGCGTAGATGAAATTGACTTGTTTGACTGTTTGAAGTTTATTTGAGTCTGAAAAGCTTTTTATCTTCATTTAATTAAATTGTTCTTCTAGTTGAGCACTTTTTGGACATTTATACCAATGTGTGTTTGTTTGCTATAAATGAGCACGTTTCCTGCATAGTTTATCTGCGGAACTTCATTATTAGTTGAATTGTTAGTTCTCTGAGTTAGCTGACAATTGGCTTCTCAATTTGAAATGTGAATTCTTCGTTGTAGTTTAAGAATAATATATAATAATATTTTAATTAATTAAAATATTCGCCTTTGTTTAAGACTTTAAGAAAAATCAAGCTGGAAGTCAATGAAACGTTTGAAATTAATTTTTATTTTATATTGAGAGCCAATTAAAATATTTTGTATATGCCTACATATAAGTTGAAATATTGTGCAAGCTTAAAGCTTAAAATGCTGTCCATAAAAATAAATTACAGGGTATTTTATTTTTTATGTTCCGCCAAGTTTCAAAGCCAAAACTAAATAATAATTTAGAATTATTATTTAATCTCTTTAGTTCCACTGCTTTAAGACTTTAACTAATTACTCTCTCTCTCCCTCTCTCTCTCTCTTACAGTTATTGCCAGTATGCAACGCTCTAAATGACAACACGATCCCAAAAAGTTCGAACTCGTTTTGTGATAAACCCAAGTTGAATCAAGTACGCGCCAATTATAGTTTAAAATAATTTCTTCTTCTATCTATATATATAGTATAAATACTTAATTACTATACGTAACTCTTTTTAGTTTACTGAGACTTTGAGACAGAACAAAACACAACATTATAAAAGACAAATTGACGACACACTGCACTAACTAGAAGAAGAAGAAGAAGAAGCAGGACAACAATAAAAAGCAAATAACACAAAAAGACAAGTCCGACCCTCTCGAACCGCTAGTAGTTAACCACGTTTAGTTAAGCGCTTTATCAACTTTGTTAGCCTTATAGTGTTAAGGACTTAGCCCGAGTGCGCTCTGATCAGATTCATAGCGTGTTGCCATCATGTCACATGGCGACATTGAGGAATGTACGTAATATATCCCGCCGATGAGCTCATCTTAATGACCTATGGTTTCTATGCACCACGTGTGAAACCGCGTCCCACACTCGACTGCCTGCGCGAACCGCTCATACCCATCGAGGTCCCAGCGAGATCAGCGAGACCCGTCGGCATCTTAGCCAACAGTGCAGCCAACGCCAGTTCCAGCTTCAGCCATCACAACTTTATTGGCGCCGCCGCCACCAGCTACACAAACGACTCGACGCGACCCACCGAGTGGTTAGCGGCCGCCGTACAAGCGCCCAATCCGACACGCATTCCCACAGCACCGCCCAACTCGCCGCACCGCCAGCCACCTAGTGTTAACTTTTTTAGCTTTGAGCAGGAGACGCCGTTGCAGCAGCAGCCAGACCCGAACCCGGAGCCGGAGCCGCAGCCAGAGCCGCCAATATTGCCAATTGGTGTGCAATCAACGCAGACACAGAGCCTGCCGCCGACGCCGACGCGACGCACCTCACGCGCCTCGCTAACCCACTCGAATCACAATTCCGGTGGTGGCAGCAAACGCTCGAGCGTGCGCAGCAATCGTTCACAGGCGCCGTTGACGCCGCTGCTGCCACATCAGCGACCGCTGAGCACGTCCATGTATAATGACGCCAGCATGCAAGGAGGCGGCAATCCCAGTGCAGCTGGACGTGCACCATTCCAACGCAGCAGCGCCTACGACGAGGACTCACGTCTGATTGACTATGGAGCTGCAGGCGCTGCGGCGGGCGGCGCAGTCGGAGCGACTGGCGCCCTGGTCGATGCCCGTTCGCGCAGTCCCAGCATCTTCCTGGAGCCACCCTCACCAGATCCCACGCACGCACACTTTGGCCCCGGCTGGGGTCGACCCATGTCGCCCATGGACCTGCCACCAGAGTGCTCCAGCAGCAGCCTGGCCAGCAAATCTCCGACCAGCAGCAAATCTCGTTTGCGGCCCAAGCTCCATATACCATTGGGTCGACTTGGTCGCTCCACTTCCTCGGATACGCGCGAGAGCAATCGCCTGCGCGAAGATGTTCATGTGCATGTCGAGAATCCGGTCTTTAGCAGCGAGAATCTGCGCCAGAACAACTTCGATGCATTCTTCGAGGCACGCGAGCCGGTCATCAAGCTGCAGCCGCGCAGCCCGAACGCAGCGTCGCCGGACGGACGCGGCTACTCGCCCCCCCTGGAGAGGTATGCGGGTGTCTATGACTCACCGCGTACGCGCACTCCGGCTGGCGGTGCGGCCGGCGGGGGCGGGGGTCTGTTTGCGCGCTCACCGCAGGAGGATCGGGAGCGTGCGCTCAATGCGCGCTCCCGCAGCGCAGACAATTGGGATGAGGCGGCTGGCGGTGCGGTGGGCGGGGCGACCGGCGGGGCCGGCAGCAGCAGTGCCGGTGCTGGTGGTCGGGCTGGTGGCGGCGCGCACTCCAAAGGTGACAGGTGCCCCCAACAAATCTATTCTCTCACAAGCTAATCAAATTGTTTACAGTTCGTTCTTATGCCGCTGCTGCCGCTGCCGCTGCTGCTAAAAGAAAAACAAAAATTTTCTCTTTGAAAAAGTTGTTGCATACAACACATTCGTTTGATTGATTGATTGATTGACAGCTGCATAATCAGCCAATGCGCTGCAAGTTTTCTCGCTGTGCAGTCGTTGACAATATTTTGTGCCGCTTGTCATGAAAAAAAATGAAGTCCTTGCAGGATTTATGTGCGCGAGTTTGTTAAATCAAGTGTTCAGACAGAAGAAGAAGAAGAATTTCAGAAGACTTATTTATAAGAAGGTTAACTCAAAGAAGAAGATATTAGGGACAATGCAAGTAATACATATTATATATATAATAACATATTCATACACATATGAATAAAACTATGAATGAAGATAGAGAACTGTGAAAGGACTCTTCATGGGAAATATGAATCATTAGATGAAGATTTGAGTAAGATTTTAATTGAAGAGAATTTTATAGTATAAATTACCAACTTGTAATATCAATGGGCTTTAAAAAAAATCAAAAGTTATTCAGCTTAAATTTTTTCAAATTACTACTAACAAATGAATTGAAATGAATTATGGCAGACTTTTAGTTAAAGCTGATTGAACTGAAAGTTTCTTCAGTGTCTGAAATTCAAACCAGCTTGCAATATATTATCTAAGACCACAAATACTCTGGCGTCTTACATAAACAAAGTTTCACTAAGTAAACTCCTTAGAGTTTTCTACAAATTTTCTTTGGCTTGGTAAATAGTTCAGAGCTGCAAGTGGCTCAACAAGTTTCTTGCAGTTCTGAGTGTCTGACTAGTTAAAGCTCTTCCATACGATATAGATATTTAAAAGTTTTTGGGTTAGATTTTGTTGAACCTAAAGAGGTCTGGGCTAAGTAGCTAGAATTGGTATATATATGAAACATTTTAAATCTCAGTTTCGAATCAAAGAAATCCAACCTATTTCGCTTAAAGTCTTTAAATCAAAAATCTAGTCTAGGCAATAAATACGCTGTAAGAACTGTTGCAATTCACAAGACAAAACTGCAAGAACTCACAGACTAAAAAAGTCAGACGTCAGGCACAAGTAAAAAAAAAGTGGAAAAATGTAGAAAAAGAAGGAAAACAGCGCATTAGTAATTCCTGCAAGGATATGCAAGCTATTCGCATGCCAAACTTGAGTTATTTTTCATATTTTCTTACACGTTTGCATAGTTACCGTTACCTTTTATGAGCGAATGAATAATATGAAAACAAGAAAATCTTCAACTAAATATGGAACGCGTCGAGCTCCCTTCCGCCGCTTGACTTTAACTCAAATACGGGCTGACTGCCTGTCGTCTTATCCTAATTCTTATCACACATGCACCAATCTCCGTTCTCCTCGTTCTGCGCCTCTTGCATGCAAAGTGGATTATGTGCATGCTTGCATATGCTCCGTACATACAGACACACACACATTTGTACTCACACTCACACACATACATGCACTCACACGTGGGTGGGGCTTAACCTTGTATTGCGTGGCCCGAGGCGGGGCCCGAGGAGCTGTTTCGGAGCGCGTGTTTTTCCACTTGGAAATGGGCACGCACATAATTCCTTGGCAAATGCAAGTGCGAGTGCTTACAAAGGGCAAACTAGCAAAAGGAGGCATGCTGCACATCCTGCCGTCGCAGTTGCAGCTGTTGCTGTAGCTGCTGCTGTTGCTGTTGCTGGCGTAGCCAAGCTTAGCAGCGCATGAAGTGTAATCAACAACATTTGCCGCGCATCCTGGGCGCCAGGAGTTGGCCGCACGTGAGCACGCGACGGCTCAAGAATCCAGTTGTCGCCCACTTGGAATTCATTTAAAAGTTCAGAGCGTAGCAAATTTGATGACCAGCAGGAGTAGCAGCTATCAACTGAAACTAAATCAACAGCGTGTTAGACGTGATCCGAGCTGCTGCTGCCACTGCTGCTGCTGCTGCCACAGGATATTGTGTGTGGCACGCCCTTGGCTTGTGTGCAGTCGAGTTGCCACATGCAATGGCGTCATTCAATGCGGCTAAATAATTGCCGTAGCATACTTTTGTGGGCGAGCAAATGGAACGAACGCAAATAAAATCACACTCATACGCCACGTGTGCTACTAAGGGTTGCGTGTGTGTGTGTGTGTGTGCGAGTGTGGTCAAACAATTGGACAGCTAAAAAGCTGAAACTCTTGAGCACTCTAAACCGAATGCCCCCAAATGCCTTTTTAGCCGTAGCAGCTGAAATAGAAGCCGTTACGCTTCATTTATCGATTGAATTTGAAATGAGCCTCAATTGGATAGCCTCGACAATGTCTTGGCAGCCACGAGGCGGCTGTGTTGCTTTGTTGACTTTTGTAATGGGCGCCCAAGCACTTGAAATTTCCGTTTGCTCAACTGACAAATACAACAAACAAACGGAATGGATGCAAACCGAAGGCCCACGGCAGGGCTCGGCTCATTATTTATGCATAAATATGAGAGGCAGCGATTTGCTGCCGCCCACTTGGTGGGCGTGCACAGATGTCTGGCACGTCAGCCGCAACCAACCTGGCTGCCACACACCCACACACATACACACACGAAGGTAGAAGGCGAGAGAAAAAAAATAAGGAATTATTAAAGCTGGGCCCTGAGCTAGGGTAACTGCGGGAGACGACGCCGACGATTCAAACTGTTTCATTACGAGTTATTTATTTACTTATTTTCTTACAGATTTGTTGTTTTTCATTTATTAAATTTGTTGCGTTACGATTTGATTGGAGATTTGATTAAATTGATATGAAATTAATTTTGTTTGCGTTTCAGTAATTTTATTTGCATTTTTATTTCCTTTCGAATTTGAATTTAATTCATTTACATTTTGCTTTGAATTAATTAATTTGATTTTTGTGGTTACTCTTTGATTGTTTTCTTTTGAGTTGAATTGTTTTTGTTGCGCTTGGAAATATTATTAATAAGCCTTCGTTTACTTCGTACAGATTCTTTGGGAAAATCTTCAAGTGGTCGAAAAAATCGTAGTTTCTTCGGGTGGAGGGGACCACGCGGTGGTTCCCTTAGCCCACAGGGCAGCATGGCGTCCTATAATGGCATACTCAAGGACTACAGTCACAGCAGCTTGAATGAGGCTTTCAAATCCCAGAACAATGTCAACTTTAAGTTAATTAAAACAGGTAAGTGAAATAAATACATATATCCATATACATATATTGGCATGCTGCGAAAGTTTTCGTTTCGTTGTCTATTTTCATGCTCAAATGAACACTTTGTGTATTGTGCGTGTGTGCGTGTGTTGGGGAAGAAATGTTGTGTGTGTTTTATTTGCAAAAGTTTTTTGATTGTTTTGACTTTGTGCTTCGTGTCTCTTCTGGTATTTTATGTGGCTTTCGGCTTTCGGTTTATGGCTTATTGATTTCAATCGCAGCGCGTCTTTGTGCTCAGCATACCTAGTGATTGTGCCATAAATCTATAGAATTGATGTCGGACACGTTTTCAACTTGCTGCCCTATAAATAACGCCAGCTTAGCATCTGGCTACCATAGCGATATGTCCGCTTTACAGCTTAAGGCGCACACATTTCTCTTTATATGTGTAGTAGTGTCGTGTGTTGTAGTTGCCTTTGCTTCCCTTTTAAAGTTTGTTACAACTTTGTGCACATGCTGCATCGACTCTGATACCCTGTAGACACTGTTGATTGTCGGCTGGCAAATATCAAAGCGAACGGCTGGCAAATACTTATCATGCATGAGAGGTGCGAACATGTAATTTATTTATTTTGCTGGCTTTTTCACTTTCAATGGAATTTTGTTTATTATTTGTCGCATTGCCATGAGGAGTCACAGCAAAATATGTTTTTTAATGCGCAGCACTGAAAACAAATCAAAAGTCCTGGCAAAAACAGCTCAGCGAACATGCTGTAAATATAAAAATATTTGTAAACAATATGAAAAGTCTAAAGAGAATTTCTATAGAGAATGGAGATGGTATGGCATAAAATGATTGATTTGATTTAAACTGAAGGAAACCTGTGCAAATGAAATATAGTTGGAAATTGTCATAAAAATGCGTGATTTTAATGAAAATTTGGTGGAGGAAATTTTTTCAAGAAAATAATAAATTATGATTGAGAGTATTTTTCATATGAATTCAGCTTTGATACAAATTTGTTATTGGAATTTGGATTCGATATAGCAAAATACTGAATTTTTATTGGAGTTTTTATGTAACATAATGTGTAGGGGAAATTGACTAAACAAGTTTTATAGCTGTAAATTTAATTGCAAGTCAAGTGAAGAAAAATAGTTGAAAATATTTTTTATATGCATATGTGCAAAATGTATATAAAAATTATTTTTAATTATTTTTCTTTACAGCACTTGAAATT